ATGAAAGAGTTCATTGTTGTCCATTGCCGGCCCACATACAGTCAGCATCGTATACATCCATACGTGCGGTCTAGACGGAAATACCTACCGTTCAAGGTACTTCAGCAAAACATGATTGACACATAAATCAAGACAATATATATGGTTTTTGTTATTAACTGCACGTGACAAATTTGAAACACTTGTTACAAAGTTACGAAACAAACATATGATCCATGTTTACAGGACTGCATTGGCGCAATAGACGGAACACATGTCAGTGCATGGGTTACGGGGCCAGATGCGGCAACATATTTCGGTAGGAAATACTGTCACACACAAAATATAATGGCCGCTGTCGATTTTGACATGTGTTTCATATTCATTTCTTGCGGATGGGAAGGAAGTATGCATGATAGTCGCATATTCAACGAGATACTAACAAATGAGAATGTCCCATTCCCACATCCTGACGAAGGTAACACATGGTCCTGTTAATAGATTTAATAATGTATTAATTTTTTCCTCAGAAAGCGTTATATGAAAATGATGCAGAATGTTCGTTTTTTGTGTCATACATTGTTGTCATATCTGCAAGCAAATATTATCTTGTCGATTCTGGCTATCCAAACCGGATTGGTTACTTAGCACCATTCAAAGGTGACCGTTACCACCAACAAGAATTCCGACGTATTGCACAGAACATGATGGCAAACACGCCAAGGGAATTATTTAACAAAGTGCACTCGTCCTTACGCAGTGTGGTGGAACGCACTTTCGGTGCCTGGAAACAGCGATGGGGGTTTATTCGAGACATGCCTCGGTATGACTTTGCAAATGTGCAAGTTTAGTTAGTAGGTGCGTCAATGGCATTACATAATTATATACGGCGAAACACAGGTAACCCAACAACTGTTCAGCCAATCTGTGACGAGGAAGAGGCTATGACAATAGTAAATGCCATACCAGAAGTTGAACATGACGAGGATGGTTTAATGGTTGGAGATGAGGACCCCCATATGGCATTGGTCCGCCTTCACATACGCGAAAAATTATGTTACATGCGTAAGAATGGAATGTTAGGAAATATATAGTAGTCAAAATAATTTTCGTATGGTTGTCACATAATGACACACGTGAAACAGACTGTATTCAAATATATTATCATGTACAATATGTATGAGTTTCCACGGGAATGTAACCCCTTCCAGTTGCTGACGTGCCTAACTTTGAAAAACAACAATCCATATGAATTTTGCTTTTGGAAAAACAAAAAAAATGTGAAACAGATAAAAACAAATGGAAAAGAAAAAGAATAGACAAATTGTCATGTGCGACGTAAATTACAAATAAATGAAACACATAAATATATTAAAAAAAAAGTTATTGTATACCAATTAAAAAAAACAAGACATACTTAAAAATAAAAATCCAAGACAAAAAAAAAAAAAAAATAGTTATAGTAAAAAAAATAAACAATAAAAAGACAAAAACATAAATTCGCAAATAAAAATCGAAAAATTTAAGCACAATACGCCAAATCCAAACCCAAAATTAAAAAAAGAACAGGAAAAAAAATTAAACAAAATACGAAAAATCCAAGCGCAAAATAAAAAAATTCAAAGAAAAAAAAAATTAGTGCAAAATCTGAAAAATATATTCAAAAAAAAAATAAAAAATAAAAAATTTGGATTTGAAAAATTCGGGAGATCGAAACCCAACATGAAAAAATTGTCAACAAAAAAAATAAAGCAAAAAATGCCAAAGCGAAACCCCAAAAAAAAAAAAAACAAAAAAAACGCAAAATCGAAACCCTACATAAAAAAATTAAAATAAAAAAGAAGAACCAAAATATGGCAATTCCAAACCCAAAATAAAAAAAATGAAAAATAAAAAAATTAAGCAAAAGTCGGCAGATCGACACCCAATATACCAAAAAAAAAAAAAAAAAAACCGAAATCCAAACCCAAAAAAAAAAAAACAAAAATTAGGAAAATAGGCGAAATCGAAACCTAACAGAAAAAATAAAAATAAAAAATAACAAAAATATGCCAAATCCAAAAAATATATATATATATTTTAAGCAAAAAGCCAAAATTGAAAAAAAAAAAAAGAAGAAAAAAAACGGAAATAATGCCAAATCCCAACCCAAATTAAAAAATAAAAAAATGGAAAAGGGCAATTTGGTCTTTTAAGAAGATGACACCTCACCAAAAAGCCAAAAAGCCCTTCCCAAACTAGGCTTTTTAGCCCCAGGCTAAAATAGTCAAAAAAGCCAAAAAGCCAACCCACTTCCCAAACGGGGGCTAACTAAACAACACATTAATTCTCATGTAAATCACACAATTAATAAAGCCAAAAACAAAATAAGATAACAAAAATAATAAGTAATGACTTAAGAAAATTAGGGTCGCTACAGGTGCGGAGTGCCGGGAACCACAGATTTGCTCAATACCGTGTTGGGTAGGAAAGCGCAGCAGCTGATGGTAGGTGCTAGGCATGGCTTGGATAGCATGTAACCAAGTTCGCCCCATGATGATATTATACGGCGATGGGAGCTTGATGACCAATAATACTACATCCATCATTCGGGAGCCGGCTCGAATGGGTAGTATGATCTTCCCCAACGGATACTCTAGATTCGCGTTGAAGCCAAGCAATGGATGGGGAGCCGGAGACAGGTCTGATTGATTGAAACCAAGTTTGACGAAGGTTTCATAATACATAACCTCGGAAGTGCTTTCTTGGTCTATGAAGACGCGTTCAACGACAAATCGATTTACGTGTAGCTCAATGACCAATGGATCACTAAGGGGGAGTGTTACCCCGATAAGATCGGAATCGTTGAAGATAATACTCGGAGCTTCATGGGGCTGCTTCATGGGGCTGCTTCGATGGTGTGCGTTGCTTCTAGGGGGCTTGAATTGCGTGTACAACAAGAGGCCTTGGAAGGTCGTATATCATATGAATGATGCCGAACGGAGGCGAATCTTGCCGAAGGGCAACAGTTTTGATTGCATTCTTTCGTACGTGTTGTTGAAGCCGACCATCTTGCACCAATTCCTCAAGGTGGTCTTTCAAAGCATAGCGAATGTCCGTATCATGATCGTGATCTTTGTGATATTCACACCGTCTGTCCCATCTTCTCGTGTCGGGAGATCCCACCATTTTGGATGGCCATTTAAAAAACGAAAGATGTTAGATTTGGAACATAACCGAGCTGATTGAATTTGAAAGCTTCGTATATTTCTTGTCGGCACGCTTTGTGCGCCTATTATCAACTTGCAGTTGCTCATTTGTTCTGTGTGAGCAATGATCGCTTGGTCAGCGAGAATCTCGTTTCTTATCTCGTTTAGTCCGCTGGCATGGTTCAGGGCTCTGAGGAGGTACAAAACTTATTGGCCAGGCAATCTTAGGGGGAGACGTTTTGGTGGTACTGTGTCCGGCTTTAACCCACAAAGTGTCATCTTTTACTTTGCAGTATTCTTCTACTTTCTTCATCAACCCCCAGACTGTTTTGGGAGGTCTTCTGGTCAAGGAACTGCGGAGGGCACTATCTGGGTGTAGTCCCATTTTGAAGGCAGTGATGGCCATGGAGTCATTGCAAGCATCATCTATAAGATTAAAGCATTCCCAATATCGTGCCGAATATACTCTTAGCATTTCTCCTAGCAGGATTTGCATTGCCCAGAGAGAGTCGGCTTGTTTCGGCTGGACCTCATTTGTGATGAATCTGGCCCTGAAAGACTTCTGTAATTGGTGGAAGGTTTTGATCGAAGCCGGCTCTAGTTTGTAATACCACCTGACAGCTAGTGGTCCCAAACTACTGGGGAATATTCGGCACATGAGGGCTTCATCATCTGCATACAATGTCATGGCTTGCTTGTAGTGGCGGATATGATCAGTGGGGTTTGACTTGCCATCATAGAGAGTAAATGACGGAGCTTTAAACTTTATGGGCAAGATTGCCCTTGCGATCCGTCGCACAAAAGGATTATGCTGGTCCTCGTCACCTGAGCCGTTTCTTCTGCGCTTATGCCTTACACGTGGGCTCTCTTCAGAGGAGCTAGAAATTGTAGGTCGCCCTTTCTTTTTGGGCTCCGGAGGTAGTGAGTCAGAGTCATTATCAGTGTCATGTTACCGAGCTCGAGGTCGTCGACCACCTGCTTTCAGAGGTCGCTCCAGGTCTTGGCGCACGGCTTGTTTGGACTTTGCCACCTCCAATGCCAAATCCTGACGGAGACGCTCGTTCTCAGCGATCATATTCTCTAACTGCTGCTCGTTTTGCTTTGCCTGCTCCATGATCGCCTGCATTGCCTCATGTTCTAGAGTCGAAGGTAAACCGAAGTTCAAAGCGCGTCTTACTGGGTTAGGCTCCGGTCCGTGCGTATTTGTTGAAGTGAAATCGTCTATCTGTGTGGTGTCATCAGCGACTATTGGAGGGTCCTTCGTTGCGTCCGCCATGGATGTGCTTGAGTATTTCCACAGACGGCGCCAGTTGTGGGGAAGTGATTTTTGGAAATACTCTTCTGATCCTGGGGGACGCTCGTGATCCACTGATAGACACTTGAAAGGAAGTAAACACTCCGGTCGGGGATGCCGGTATTAGCACTCCGACGGACAAGTCAGTCTCTCGTTCTAGATTACTTGTATTCTAAGTTAAACACCACAATTATCGCATACCTTTCTCCGTCTGCTATTCCTTTATTTATACTCGTTCCCTGGGCCTCGGGGCCAGGTCCACTTTTCGCTCATTATGTTCATATTTACTCGGCTCCATAGCTCAGTCCCTATTCGGCCCATCTACCCTTTATATTCGGCATCCTGATGGTTCTGGACAGAGCCGGGCAATACTTGTCTGTTAAAGCATGCCTCCTTTAAAATTCGGCTCCCACACTACCATATAACTATCATATATCACAATACACTACCATACCTACATATATACACAATATTCTCACACCCCCGGTCAAACTCAAGGTGTTTTAGAAAAAAAACACTGAGAGTTTGCCAAAAAGAAATTAAAACCGTGCAGTGGTGTGAATCTTGGTAAAAAAAGCAAGTTGTAGAGCCAAGGAGACGAAAGGAAACAAGATAGAGTCAGACTGCGGATGCTGACAGACAAAGGGACAATCAATCTCAATGTGCTTGGTTCGCTCATGGAAGACAGTGTTATGTGCACTTTGAATAGCACTGCAATTGTCACAATAGAGAGAAGTCGGAGAAGACTGAGGGATGCCCAAGTCAAAGAGAAGACAACGAAGCCAGACAATTTCAACAGTAACATGAGTCATAGGACGGTACTCTGCTTCGGCAATAGAATAGGCAACAACAGTTTGTTTTTTGCTTTTCCAAGTGATCAAGGAATCGCCAAGAAACATACGAAAACTAAAAATGAACTTACGATCGGTAATATCACCCGCCCAATCAGCATCAGCATAGGCCACTAACTCCAAGGAAGAAGTATATGATAACAGCAAGCCTTGGAAGATAGTACCGCGAAAATAGCGAAGGATCTGAACCAAAGCAGTGCAATGTGTACAGCGAGGAGTAGAAACAAACTGGTTAACCACATGAATAGCATAGGCAAGATCAGGGCGAGTAACCATCAGATAGACTAAGCAACCCACAAGCTCGCGATATAAAGTGGGATCATTTAGAGGGACACCATCAATAGTGTAGACCTTCACATTAAGTTCAATGGGGGTATCAGAAATCTTAGTGTCAGAAAGACTGACACGGTGAATAACCTCATTAACATACTTGGCCCGAGACAAAAAATAGCCCTTGGGAGAAAAAGCCACCTCAATACCAAGAAAATACCTCAAAGGTCCCAGATCCTTCATTTCGAAAGTGCAGAAAGATGTTGCTTGACCTCAGAGATAGCAAAAGAGTCAGAGCTAATGATGATCATATCATCTACATATAGTAATAAAGAAACAAAACCAATAGAGGTGTGTAGAAGAAACAAAGCAGAGTCGTCGGCACAAGATGGAACCCAAGCTCAGTAACAGCTGTCTAAAAGCAATCATACCAAGCACGAGGAAATTGCTTGACAAACCTGTCCAAAGGAATGAGAAAGGCCAGAGGGAGGACACATGTATACCTCCTCAGTGAGATGGCTATTAAGAAAAGCATTCTTAACATCCATCTGATAAGGAGGCCAATGACGAACAGCAGCAACATAAATCAAAGTACAAATAATAGTCATCTTAGCAACTGGTGCAAAGGTTTCCTTATAATCAATGCCATACTCCTGTGAGAAACCTTTGGCAACCAGGTGAGCTTTGTAGAGCTCAAGGGAACCATCAGAATGAGTCTTGACTTTATAGACCCATTTGCAACCAATCAGATTCTTGCCAGCAGGCAAAGGAACTAGTTCCCAGGTTCTAGTCTTCTGTAAGGCAGACAACTCATCCTCCATAACTTGAATCCAATTAGGATCCTGACAAGCCTCCTTATAAGACAGAGGTTCTGAAAAAGAGTGAATAGCAGACAAAAACGTACAATATGAAGGAGAAAAACATGTGTTAGAAAAACTAAGTTTAACTACCTGTTTACGAATGCGAAGGGGATACTTACGGAGAGCAAGATCAGAAGTAGGAGGAACAGTAGCAGGGACAGAGTTGACTGGTAGAGGGAGAGCCTTGCGACGCGAATAGACTAACAACGAAGGAGGAAAAGGAGTCGGCGGGGGAAAAGAGGGGGAGGAGGAAACAGACTCATGGGGTACAATAGAGAGAGACTCAACAAGAGGAATGTTAAGAGGAGAAAAAGGAACAAGCTCATTGGAAACAATAGAGATATACTTAGCAGGAGGAGCCTCAGAAGAAAATGGATCAATGTGAACCAAGTCTTCTTTAGAAATTGGAGCAGTGAAAGGTGGAAATCGAAAATAAGCAAGACGTTCCAGAAAAGCAACATGACAGGAGACATAGAGGCGGCGGGAAATAGGATTTTAACAACGATAACCTTTCTGAGTAAGACTGTAATCCAAAAAGACACACAAGACAGACCGAGCACTGAGTTTTGTCCAATCTTTTCAGGAAAGAAAAACAAAACACGCAAACCCAAAAACATGAAGGAAAAAGTAATTAGGAAGTTGAGAAAATAGAGCCTTATAAAGAGAACGACCAGATAGTAAGGGGGTAGACATACAGTTGCGAAGAAAAACAGCTGCAAAAATGGCTTCTCCCCAAAAGGGAGCGGGAACAGAGGCAGAAAAAAGGAGAGATCTAGCTTTCTCAAGACGATGACGGTATTTACGCTCAGCACGACCATTTTGGGCGGGTGTATCAGTACTAGAGGTTTGGTGAATGGTACCCAAATTTGCCAAATACTCACAAAACTCAATTTTAAAATATTTCCCACCTAAGTCAGACCGTAATAATTTAATGGTAGATCCAAACTGTGTAGTGATCATAAACTGAAAGGTACAGTATATTTGATAGAAGTCAAATTTATGAGTCATAAGGTAAACCTAAGTATAGCGGGTGCAATCATCCACAAAAGACACATAGTATGCAGAATCCCCTTTAGTAAGAATAGGAGAGGGTCCTCAGACATCCATATGCACAACAGAAAAAGGAGAAACATAAATAGAAGTTCTTTTATTGAATGGTAAAGCTAACATTTTGGCAAGTTTACATCCCTAATATTCATCAATAGTACTAGAAGAAACTTTACCCAATAATCTTGACTGAGCTAAAGACCGTAAGCAGTCAACAAACAAATGACCTAGGTGAGAATTCCATAAATAAAACTGACTCGACTGAAAATCTAACTAAAATGAGGAAAGTGCAACTAGAAAGGTGGATAAAGGGAGATGTAAGTTTTCTACCACATAAAGATCTCCAACTCTAAGGCCGGTCTCAATCTATTTCTTGGACACCTGATCCTGCACATAACAGACAGAAGAGGAAAATATAACATCAAAACAAAAAGCATTAAGTTGGCTGATAGATAATAAGTTGATAGATAGCTGAAGAACATAAAAAAAAAAAAGAGGGAATAGTAACAGTAGACATGGCAGAGGGTAAGACAAACCCAATACACACAACAGACATACCAGACCTATTAGCAATATTAATAGTAATAGAAATAGGAAGGGGACTACAGCTTCGAAGTAAGGAAAGATGAGGAGTCATATGATTAGAGGCACCAAAATCAAAAAGCCAAAGAGAATAAGGGATACTGGAGGAAGACCCAAGCAAACCTGAATGAAAAGAGATAAGAGCGGAGGCAGATGGTGATCGCTGAGAGGTGGACATAATTTGCTGAAGTTGAGCAATCTGAGCAATTAAGAAAGTCAAGATCGGGAGGAGCACATGCTGCATAAGTGGTAGGAGGCCGAAAAGTACTCGGAATAGGACCGCAAAACTTTGTCTGAGGTGTCTGAGGTCCCTTCTTGGGACAGTTGTGCTTCCAATGGTGCCTCTGATGGTAGAAAGCACACTCATCTAAAGCCAAGGGCCCTTTTTTGGGCTTGGCAGTGGCCTGAACCGGTGGGATCGATAATAGTGGAGGTTTAGCAGGAGCTAGGAAGATAGATGGAGACAAAGTCTGACTGGTCGTTTTGAGACAGGTTTCCTCGAAGAGAAGCTCATGAACAATGGCATCCACAGAGGAAGGGGGAGACTGGTGAAGGATGCCACCACGAATAGCCTCATACTGAAGGGAGAGAGCCATTAAGAACTACACTAAACGACCATGCTCTCGAAACTCAATATACGCATCTAGAACCTTGAGGCTGGAAGGTTCCATAAGAGCCAACTAATCTCAGAGACCTGCCATTTCAATATAGAAATCCTGAATAGACAGATCCCGCTGACGAGCTCCTTGAATAGCTGTTTCCAACTCGTACCGTTTAGCAAAGTTGGATTGCTGATAAACACTCTATAAGTAATCCCTGTTAGAACAAGAAATATGTAATTGTGTGATTGTGTTTCCTTATATTATGTCGTATGGCACTCCTGTAATTACTCAGTATTATCAATATAAAAGGGAATAAAGTCCAACTCATTCCCTAACTCTTTCTCTTCTCCAAAACTATATGGTGTCAGAGCCAAAACCCTAGCCCATACCTCTGGCGGCAGTCACCTCTCTCGGTCGACTTCTCGAGCCTATCACCTAGGCCCCCTACAGTCAATCCGAACCTCCCACACTCTTGTTCAGTCCATTAGCAGCCTCCCAATGCCTCTCGACAGCCTCTTAGGCCTAGTCGACAGCCCCTTTGGCCTTCTAGGGTTTTGTCGACAGCTTCTCTCTTCTGCCGCAGGATTGCCCAGGCTCATTAGCAGCCCTAATTTGTTCAACTAGGGCCATCGTGGCTTCTTAGGTGGTCAATTAGGGCCTCCGGTGCTCCCTGGTTGGTCGGCTATCCTCATGCATGTAACTAGTCGTCTTTGTTCTTGTTGTCTCTGTATACAACAACAACAACAACAAAAACAGTTTTCTTTTCTTCTTTATGATTTCATAGGCTATATGCTTTCATAGGGTGAGTTGTGCCTTTCCTTCCGCTATTATCTTTTGAGTTTCTGATTAGCCCTGGGTTTGAAGTTTCCTTAGTAGAATATTCATGGCAGAGTTCACTAGTGAGTCAATAACTTCTCAGCCGCTTAAGAGCGAGAGCTCCCTTCTACCTTCTACCTTCTATTATGACTGATAATCTCAACCTTGGCCTAAAAATCACCACTTCTCTATTCAATAGTCAGAACTATCTAGCGTGGTCGCAGAATCTGATTATTTTCTTAAAGAGCAGAGGGAAGATGGTTTATGTTGATGGCAAGATATAGGCACCCACCACTATGAACCCGAGTTATGATCAGTAGGAGATCACCAACTCCCTAATTATGGGTTGGTTGATCCATTCTATGGTCCCAAAGATTGGAGAGGGCTATCTCTCTATGGACACTACACAAGGTATTTAGGAGGACGTGACTACTACTTACTCTCGAAAGAGGAACTTCTCCCAGGCTTTTGAGTTACGTTGCTTCATTGAAAGCTCGATACAAGATGAAATGAATATCCTTTAGCATTTTACCTTCTTTAGCAATGGGTGGAAGCGACTTGATCATCTTCAGGATTACAAACCAGTCTGTCCCACTAATTCTGTGGGTTACCGGAAGTTTGTGACACAAGAGCGGGTCTTCAAGTTCTTAGAATGCCTAAATGTGGAGTATGATCCAGTGCAGAGCAGAGTCCTTGGCATTGATGTGCTTCCTTCTCTCCAAGATGCCTTTGTTTTTATGCAGAATAAGAAGAGTCGCCGCTCAGCAATACTACCCTCTGCCACTGCTGATCACTCGGCCTTGGTCTCTGCACCCCCTCACGATGGCGACCGTGTGACTCATGGTTCTCGTTCTTCCTCTAAGAAAGATAATCTTTTCTATGACTACTGTTGTCGACCTCGCCACACAGGAGAGACCTGTTGGAAGCTGTATGGGACTCCTTCTGGTGGCCGAGGTGACCGTCCTGGTACTCGAGGGGGTAGGTCTGGTTCATCTAGAGGCCGAGGGGCCAATGCTTGGGCACATCTTTCAGACACATTCATCTCCGGTTGTCTCCCCTGCTGCTGATGTTTTAGGATTCTCTACCTCGGATTTTGAGATTGCTCTTCGACACTTGTTAGGTCGTCGAGCCTCCACTTCTGCTCCAGGTGCACCTTCTTCTTCCTTTGCCAATTCAGGTAACTTCACTTCCTCCCAATGTGCAATGCTATCTCATACGCCTGTACCATGGATTATTGATTCTGGTGCTTCTGACCATATGTCTGGCTCTTCTAATTTATTTTCAGAGTATAACCCCTCCTCTGGTCAGGACAAAGTGCATATTGCTCATGGTACTTTTTCATCTGTGTCAGAGAAAGGTTTAATTCATGCCACCTCTTCTTTTCCTTTGTCTTTTGTCCTCCATGTTCCAATTTTAGTGTTAATCTTTTATCTTTGAGTCGTATTACCCATGACTTAAATTGTAGCGTGGCATTTTTTCCTGATCATTGTCTTTTTGAGGACCTTATCACAGGGAAGAGGATTGGCAGTGGTAGAGAGGACCATGGTCTCTACATTCTAGATCAGACAGACAAACTGGCCCATTCAACTATTCAATTCCGATCCACCAAGGGCGACATTTGGCTGTGGCACCGTCGCTTAGGAGATCTCTCTTTTTTATGACTTAAGTATTTATTTCCTTCTGTCTTTGCGAACAATATTGTGTCTAATTTTCAATGTGAGCCTTGCCAACTTGGAAAACAACACAGAGCCTCTTTTGCTCATTCTATTAATAAAAGTTCAGTTCCCTTTTCTTTGATTCATTATGATGTTTGTAGTCCATCCCATTTTGTGTCTTTAATCGGTAAAAAATGGTTTGTTACCTTCATAGATGATTGTTCCAGGGCCAATTGGGTATATTTGATGAAAGATAAAAGTGCTATGTTTTCTGTATTTCAAAACTTCTATAAAATGGTTTGTACTCAGTTTGGGGTGGTTGTTAAAATTCTTTGTTCTAATAATGAGGGCAAATATATTGACTCTGGCCTTGCCACTTACTTCTCCATTCATGGCATTATTCACTAGACTTTATGCACTAATACTCCTCAATAAAATGGTGTTGCCGAACGCAAAAATCGCTCTCTTTGATGTCGCCCGTTATCTATCTTTTGAGATGCGGGTTCCTCGATCCTATTGAGGGGACGTGGTTCTCACTGCCGTTTATTTGATTAATCATCTTCCTACCGAAGTCCTTCAAAAACAAACACCTCTTCAAGTTTTGTTTGGGTCAACCACTTCCAGGTTCTCCATTTCTCCTAAGACTTTTAACTGTGTTTGCTTTGTCCATAATCATTCACCCACTCGTGGTAAATTAGACCTTTGTCCATTAAGTGTGTTTTTCTGGGTTATTCTGCCACCAAAAAATATAAGTGTTATCATCCTCCCATTCGCAAATGTTTTGTCTTCATGGATGTCACTTTCTTTGAGTCTCAGCCTTACTTTCCGCCCTCTCCGGTATCACCGTCATCCCTTCAGGGGGGAGCCTTGGTGTGAAGAGATTCCTATTCCACTTTCACCTGTGGTTGACTATATAAAGGATGATGAGTCAGCAATTGTTGAAGAAAGGGCAGGCAAAGTTTATATCAGGGACAAGGACAGACAGCAAGTCATATGGATGCAAGAGACTACTTTCCTTCCTTTACTGTGAACTTATTCTCTAGATGAGTGTCCTGAGAGTCCATGTAATTTTGATTCTAATACTCCTATTCTTGATTTTTTAGATCTTGATATTCTCATTGCTAATAGGAAGGGGGTTAGGTCATGTACTCAACATCCGATTACTAATCATGTCTCTTATTCTAATCTGTCTTTGTCATGTAAAGCTTTTCTGTCTAAAGTGTCTTCTATGAGTCTACCTACCAATTCTCAAGATGCTCTCTCTATTCCTGAATGGAAGCATGCCATGATGGAAGAGATTAAAGCTCTCAGCAAGAGTGGCACTTGGGAGTTAGTAGAGTTACCTAGAAGCAAAAAATCCAGTTGGGTGTAAGTGGGTGTACACGATAAAACACAAAGCCGATAATTCCATAGAACAGTACAAAGCAAGACTGATTGCTAAGGGTTTCACTCAGAGTTATAGGTTGGATTACCAAGAGAAATTCACACCGGTTGCTAAGATGAATTCTGTGAAAATCTTACTCTCTTTTGCTGCAAATTTGGATTGGCCACTTCATTAATTTGATGTGAAGAATGCCTTCCTTCACGGAGATCTAGCAGAAGAGGTCTATACGGATATTCCTCCTGATTTTGCGAATGCTAAGTCCAACGGTGAAGTATGCAGGCTCCGAAAGTCACTTTATGGGCTAAAGCAGTCTCCTAGGGCTTGGTTCAAAAGGTTTGCTCAAGCTATGATGAACTATGGGTTCAAGCAAAGTCAAGCTGATCACACTTTGTTTGTGAAACAGTCCTCACATGGAAAGACCATAGCTCTTATTGTCTATGTTGATGATATTGTTCTGACACAAGATGATGTTGAGGAGATTCCTCGTTTGAAAGAATACTTAGCCAAGGAGTTTGAAATCAAAGACTTAGGCTATTTGAAGTATTTTTTGGGCATTGAAGTAGCTCGGTCCAAGAATGGCATCTTCATATGCCAGAAGAAGTATGTACTTGACTTGCTAAAGGAAACTAGAATGCTTGGAGGTAGACCTTGTGATACACCTCTAGAATTGGGCCAGAAACTGAATGAGGATCAAGAGGGAGATCCAGTGGACAGGGGGAGATACCAGAGACTAGTGGGAAAGCTCATATACTTATCCCACTCACATCCAGACATTGCCATTGTCATGAGTATAGTGAGTTAGATTATGTATGCTCCGAGAACTTCCCACTTAGAGGCAGTTATGAGAATCCTGAGATACCTGAAATCTTCTCCTAGAAAGGGTCTCTATTTCTCAAAACAAGGCCATCTCAATGTGGAGGCATTTACTAATGCAGATTGGGCTAGATCCGTCACTGACAGACGATTAACTTCCGGATATTGCACATTTGTTGGTGGCAACCTAGTCACATGGCAAAGTAAGAAACAGAATGTGGTTGCTAGATCTAGTGCTGAGTCGAAATTCAGGGCTATGGCTCAGGGTGCATATGAGTTACTATGGATTAAACTTTTGTTAGGAGACTTAGGAATCCATCAGAATGACTCCATACGACTATACTGTGACAACAAGACCGCAATCAATATAACTCATAATCCAGTTCAACATGATAGAACTAAGCATGTAGAGATTGATAGGTACTTCATTAAGGAAAAACTCACTAGTGGTATCATATGTATTTCATTTGTGAAGACTGGAGACCAACTAGCCGATGTTCCCACCAAGGGGCTAGGGAGCAAATCATTTCATGGCATCCTTAAAAAACTGGGCATGAGAGATATCTTTGCACCAGCTTGAGGGGGAGTGTTAGAATAGGAAATACGTAATTGTGTGATTGTGTTTCCTTATATTATGCCATATGGAACTCCTGTAATTACTCAATATGATCAATATAAAAAGGAATGAAGTCCAACTCATTCTCTAACTCTTTCTCTTCTCCAAAACTACAATGCCACACCTCTTTGGCAGTGTTGTATTTAGAGGATATCATCCCGATGCGATCATCCATAGAGTTATGGAACCAGGTCAAAACTTGAGCATTATCACAATCTCAAGTGTCACAGGAAATCAGACATCTTTCTTATTTTAGATCCGATGGACAAGGAATAGAACCAATTTTTTCGACTGAGAAGAAAATTTCTTATAATACTAGAACAATAAGCATAGTTGTCACTTGTAAGTTTGCATTTAATAGCTTGAATTTTATCTCCCAACATTGTAATGAATCAGAAATAAAAGAGAAGGGAACTGATGGGGCAAAATGAGAAAACCCAATAAATCTGAGGGGTCAAACTGTAATAACCCAAAGTTGGGACAGAAGGATCAAGAACTTGTGGACGGAAATTAGAGAACAGAGATCAGAGACCAGAGAGAGAACCAAAGCAGAAAAGCTTCAATCGACACAACCAGAAAGAGAGAACCCGAAATCAAGCCAAAGCAAAGGTTGCGAGAGAGAGAGATCCCTCAAACCCAGACTAGAGTGGCTATTTTAGAAGTCTATTGCGACTTCGGAGAAGACCAAAGAAGTCTGTCGCAACTTTGAAGAAGTACAAAGAGGGCTATCACGACTTCGGAGAAGCCCAGAGATACCTTCGTGGCTTCGGAGAAGGCCAGAGAAGACTTTGAACAACAAGCGTGAACGAAGAGAAGAACTTCGAACGATCAAGGCCAGACCTAGGGTTTTGGGCGTAGCTCCGATACCATGTAAGTTTTTTGTATTCTGTATATTCAATTGATCTCATAATACAAAGGATACAGCTATTTATATAGAACTCTTTAACCCTAAGACAAAAAAGGAAACGATGTGTTCCTAACCCTAAGACTAAAAAGGAAACGAAAACATACTACCATATATCACAATACAACTACCATATATCACAATACACTACCATATATACATATATACACAATATTCTCACAACTACCCCCCCAGAGTGCATGGCATGCTTACAAAAGGAGAAAGTGCCATGTCTAAAAGCTTATACCATTGTGTACCAAAGCAACATGTTGTAGTTGATGGGTTCACATGATGCAGTCGAGAACTTTCAATCTCTACTTGCCGAAGTTCATATTCTAACATCAGGTGCGTATAAAATTTGCAAATGAGGAAAAGAAATTAAATCCGTTGCAGTTAAGCTAGCAAATAATCATGGTCTTTTAGAACTCTCCTTTTGTTATCCTTGGTGTTCTGATCTACAGAAAGCTAAAATGTTGGAGCGTACTTTGGCAGTGCTTGCTAACATTAGCTGCTCGGGTTTATATTAGAATTTAGAATATCTATGAAAATGGCACATTTGATTTGAATTCAACTTTTTTTTTCAAAGAGGGAGGAGTGGGGAGGGGGGGTTAGTTGTAAATTTGACGTGTAGACATATATGTCCAATTGTGTTTTTCAGTTCAATGAAATGGGTTTAGTAAAAGAAGATGAAGAAGAAATTGGAAAGATAAAAAATAGAGAATGGCATGATGATTTGGGAATGTAAAATGTATGAAAACAAAGAGAGAGAGAAGTGAAAAATAAAAGTACAATCACATCTATTCATGCCTCTTATATTTTTATGCACTAAATTTATATTCATAAACATAGCATATAAAAATATATGAAAAAATATTTTTATCGTATTCCTGCCATATCTTAATTTTTTTCAAAATCGGCACATCCTGTGTCCATGTCCATGTTTCTTAGATCAAACGTAATCACCATCTCATTGCCTCAATAAGAACCTTTTAAACCATTGATCCTTTTTTATCTAATCCATATTCCAATCAAAATAAATAAATAAATAAATGTTGAAGTTTAAGTTTTTACACCTAATACAGTTTAGTTATTCGACGATGATTAAGCACCTAAAATAGTTCACAAAAATGAAAGAAGACAAAAAGAAAATGTAATAGTTGGTCAAGCCCACTACAACAATTTGATCAAGTTGAAGTGACTTCTCATGAATTCAAATCCAAACAACATACAATATATATATATATATATATATTCTCTTTCCCACTCATTTTCTAACCAACTAAATCAACAGTATTATAGAATTGCAAACCAACAGCAACCGAAATAAACTAAATTACATTTATAGACCAACAATAACAATAAATAATAATAAAAAATCCAGTGAAAAACACATTAGTGAATAATTCCAATTAAACACTAATATTCAAGAATTAAATTGGAATTCAATTCAATTAACAAGAAATAAGAAGGAAACAAATCAAAAAGCATACCAGTAATTCGCCCGAAAGCGGCATGAAATGCACGGTGTGAAGCATATCTTGCCTCCTCCTCTATACATCTTTAAAAAAATATTATAAAATAAAATATAAAAAAAACCAAAACCACCACAAATTCCCATCAGAATACTACAAAATATAGAACCAGCATTGATCATAGAAAGTGAGGGCAAAAGGGTCACCAGGGAGTACCTAGTAATGCCTTGTACTTCTCCAGCCTCTGCATCCAACCCTAACGAAAATCACCACAACCTTCCTCCTCGTTTGTGGACTGAAGTTGATTATTAACGATTTAATGAACATGAGTAAAATGTTTCTTTATTTTTGTCATTTGTTTGAATGATGAATCTTAATTCATATGCTTCATTTTATGTGTGGTTTATTTCTTTAAAATTTGAAAATGAATATATAGGCCTTTTATATGTATCACGTGTTTTACATTTATTGTTAAGTTGAATCGAATATTTAATAATATTTTATAACACACTTCAATTCACAAATTATATGAAAATTATGTGATATTTTTAAAAATTAGAGGAGGAAATCGCATATGACACAAACTACCGGAGTAAAGGAAAGTTGGCCTTTTTCTTAAAAAATCACTACAATTTATTCTTTTTATGTTTTTAAATTTTTTTTATAAAAAGTTAAAAAATTATTAAAAAATTAAATATACAAAACAATCTTAAGAGGTGAAAAAATGTCTACTTAATTTTTTATTGAGTAGATTATACTAACCTTTCTTAAAATTTGTAAAAAAAAATACCATAAATTTTATAATTTTAACATATTTATATTGAATTCCTTTATAATTTTAATTTATATAATACTTAATTCTTATTTTATCAATAATTTATTAATTGTATGAATGAAAAAAAAATAATATTATCATTTTTTATACGAAAATATATATTTTAAGAGTGATAAGTGTAATTTATCATTTATTTATTTATTTATTTTGAAAAAGGAGCCAGTGTGTGTTTTGAGCAACTTTTAAATGTCATTTTAATAATTTTCATATAACTTTCACCTACTCATAATAGAATTGAGATATATACATAGGCAATACAGATGGTGATTTATTATTGAGTGCTGTTTTGGGATGGCATTATAGTCTGATTTTTTTTTGACTATTTGACTATTGTAATTTGATTAAAAAAATTATATTTGAAATATTTTTGAATGTTTTTATAATTAAATTGATGATTATAAGAGAAAAAATATAATAATTATAATTTAAATATAATATTTTATCTTATTAACTATTTTAGTTAAACCCACGTACCAAATAGATCCAGTGTCAAATTCAATCTCTTAAACAGACAATTTCCATTTTGAAATGGGGTCATAGCATTTTCCGTTATCATACAATTGGGAAATTTATTAAAGACCAATGAAGTGAGCTTTCACTAAAAGTATTTACTTCTCTCTCTCTCTGTGAAAAAAAATACAAACAAACAAACAAATAAACTTGAAATTTAGTTCTTGTTTGGAAACATGTTATTTTAATAATTTTTTAACTTTTTATAAAAAAATGTGCAGAAAAATAAAGAGAGTAATGTAACAACTTATAGTGACTTTTTAACTTTTTAACTAAAATATAGAATTGATAAACGAGACCTTAGAGCATCTCCAGCAGTATAGCCATTCTCTCTTTTCAAACATAGAAGCGAGCTTGGAAGAGTGAAAGACTCCTCCAGCTGACTCACTTAAGCACCACTAAGATGGTTGTGAGCTACAGTACCTCGCCAAGACAAGCGAGGTACTGTTCATGAGCGTTTCAATTTTTTATTGGTTTTTGCCTCCTAAGTTCTGTTTTTGGTGGTAAAGTTTTCGGCGGTAAAAGTTCTATCAATACCTCCCCAACAAATCCATAAAGAAGACATTCCAAAACTTACAAACTCTCTCATCCTCTCTATCTTTTTCTCAAACTTTTTGCTTAAGTGAGGTAATAAGTTTTGTCATTTCTATTTGTTTATGCCATAAATAGTGGATAAGAAATTGGAGAATATGAAAGCAAATATTCAGATTCTTGCATTCTTATTTCATTATTTGTTGATTTTGGCAAAAATATTACACATTGCTTTGTCATTTGTGATTATGGGAGGAAATCCATGTGAATATATATTTTCTCCTTCACTTTGTGGCTTCTCTTGTTTTTAATCTCATCTTACAAATGGTTGCACCAAGTTATGGCTCCATGTTCTTAATCAATAGGTCATGAATTTACTACTTGTAAAAGAGGAAATATTATGTATTTGCATTGCACACTATATGTTTGTTGTAATTTCTGTTAGAATAGAAATTGTAAATTGTACCCAATTATTTTATCCCATCAGATGAGTTTCATATAGACAGAACACTTTAAATTTCTGCTCCATTGAATGAGTTCCATTTAGTATGTTTGGTTTGAGTTTTCTGAATTAAGTTTTTTGAAAACTGACTTTTTTGGTTTTCGTATTTTTTTGTTTTTAGTTAATATTTTTAAAATTTTAAACATCTTTTTTTACTTTTTTAGATGCACCTTACTTAGATGTATCTAAAAAGTAAAAAAATTGTGAAAAAATATTTTAAAAAAATTAATAAATACATAAAAATATAAAAAATATACTGAATTCTTGTAATTTTTTTTTGTATTTTTGGTATTTAGTGAATTTTTAAACGATTTTTTTATAATTTTTTTTACTTTTTAGGTGTGTCTAAAAAATAAAAAAAAAATTGCTTAAAATATTTAAAAAATTCAATAAAAACAAAAAAATACGAAAAATAAGAAAGTAGAATTTTCTGAAAAGTGTTTTTTGAAAAGTGGAAACAAGCATGCTTATTGATCCTTTCAAATTATGCTCCAAAAGTAGTAGTAACAGCAAGCTGCCAATAGCAGCAACAAGATGCCTAGTAACAACAATAGCAATAGGAAGCGTCTTTATTCCCCATATCTATAAACTTGCATTGATAAAGGAATTCATTACAAGTTATGGTTTTGAGCTTTTGTCTATCTCTGGCACCTTCTTTCTCTATTGCAAAGGAGACGTCATTGAAATCAACCCCCATGCATAGCCATGGTTTGTTCAAACTTCGAGAGCTATTAGCTATGAGAGAGCAAAGATTTTTTCTTTCACTGATTATTGGAAAACAACAAATAAGAGCCTCCACTTTCCCAAAAGGTTATGAAAAGAGCATTGGCTATCCCAAAAACAAAACCAAAAAGAAGAAGAAGAAGAAGATGGAATTCACTAAAGTGCAAATTCACCTCTTTGTTTGAAAAAACTATTGCTCCTCCAGCAAGACTGATAGACTCCAAAAGTGAAAGACACAAATTAAATAGTCTGATTTCTTCAAATTTATTTTTTATAACTTGTGTTTCAAGCAGACAACTTAGTAAGGGTCTAAATTGGACACTAGGACTTTTAATGGTTGAATTGTCAAGGTAGCCTTATGTCTTGATTTAGTGAGAATATTTAAATACTCTTATGTCTTGGGTTCATCCTTAGTAGTTTGATTTATCTTTTTCATGGGAACATGCTAGCAATTTGTTTTCAGGTTTGTATCTATAACTACCAGAGCAATGTTTTCTTCCTCTTTCTGAGAGTTGTTCTTAGCTTGAAAAAACATGGAAGTCGTCTTCCTTGTATCCAGTACTATTCAAATTGTTGCAGCTTGCCATAAGCTCTATTTTTTAAATTTTAATTCTTATATATTATTCAATCATAGGTATGGATTCACAACAAGATGGTTATTTTATCAATCTCTTACAAGAAAGGCCCAACATTGATGAACATTATGTAATGGAATCTCAATATTTGAATCAAAATACTCAAGTCTTTGCCCAAGAGTCTCAATTTACTGCTAAAATTGAATCTTTGTCGAAGAAACCTCAACGTGGAGGAAACTTCACAATAAAAGAAGACAAACTCCTTGTATCGGCTTGGCCTAATATTAGTTTAGATAGACACAGGAATGAGCAAAAACGCTCTACCTATTGGAAAAGAGTGTGGGATTTTTTCCATGAGCACAAGAAATTTGAGTCTAATCGAAATGAAAATTCTCTTATGAATCGATGGTCAACCATTCAGCTTGCCATGAATAAGTTTTATGGGTGCTACGCCCAAATTGAATCCTTGCATCAAAGTGGCATAAATGAGGATGACAAGATATTGAATATTGTACATTTATAATTATTATTATTTGTGAAGTTGCCAAATATTATTTATTTATTTAATTTTCAAATTCGCAAGGCGAAAATTATGTACAAGGAACTCAAAAAATCTACATTACAATTCGAACACTGTTAGATTATTGAAAAATCTAGAAATCCCCTAGATATTTATTTGTGATTATATATCAATTTTAACCAGTAAATAGCAATCCTAATCAAACAATCAAAGACAAATCGACACAACGATTTTACATGAAAAAATCACAATTGAAGCGTCTCTAATTGTGATAAAAAAACCACGAGCAAAAGCCACAAAACAATCCACTAAGAAGACATAAAGAAATTACACAAATGTACTCTCAATTACCTAGCAAATCTAGAATCGAACCGACCCCTATGTGCCTCTTTCAGCCCCATTTTCATCTCAGAATTATCTTGTATAACGTTGAATCCATAACACCAATGTCAAATCCACGATGATGAGCCACTTCAGAATCCACCAAAGTTTCAAGCCCGAATTCCCAGGAATCCACCGAAGAACAACTCTCTTTGTTGTATTGCGTAAATAAAACAAACAAACCCTTTGATATAATCCATTCAATTCATGATTGAAACTCTCACAAATATCAAAGGAAACAAGCAAAGAAGCTCCAGAAGAAAACCCTAATACCCAAGAAGAAGATCTGGAAGCTATCACCCTAAAAATAAATGAAACCATATATTTATAGAAAACTGATCTGCGATCTCAGCTCGAGCACAAGAATGGCTGCTCAAGTAGCTCTACGCTCGAGCGCAGGAATGGCTGCTCGAGCGGAAAAAAATAACTCCCATTACTTTTGCAGGCGAGTGAAACTTCTAAAAGGTCGTGATCTCCGACATAGTCAGCGAAGTAGCAAACATGAAAGAATTAACTTCTGAAACATCTTTGCAAGACACAATTTGGGTTGGATTCGCATCTAAAACTCATAACCTCACTGAAATAAAATATCGAATAAAATTAAAACTGAACGGAGTTTTGTCAAACGAGATTGCCAAGAATAAAAACCTAACAATTATGTTAGTGGATCAACCAAAATGGACGGTAGAGTTTGAGAAGAAAAAACAACCAAAAAGACCAAGAAGAAGGGCAACCTTTTCTCTTTGTACTCCGGATTCGATAAATCTAGGGGAAGACGATGTCTCACCTAATGTTTATGTAGACTTGGAGAGACCAACCAGTAGGAAGGCTGAAAAGAAGCGATTGAATAAACGAAAGAAGAAAGAAAGCA